AAGTTTGGACCACGACTGTATGGCAAGGGTTCTCAAGTTTGGACCACGACTGTATGGCAAGGGTTCTCAAGTTTGGACCACGACTGTATGGCAAGGGTTCTCAAGTTTGGACCACGACTGTATGGCAAGGGTTCTTAAGTTTGGACCACGACTGTATGGCAAGGGTTCTTAAGTTTGGACCACGACTGTATGGCAAGGGTTCTTAAGTTTGGACCACGACTGTATGGCAAGGGTTCTTAAGTTTGGACCACGAATGTATGGCAAGGGTTCTTAAGTTTGGACCACGACTGTATGGCAAGGGTTCTTAAGTTTGGACCACGACCGTATGGCAAGGGTTCTTAAGTTTGGACCACGACTGTATGGCAAGGGTTCTTAAGTTTGGACCCAACCCTTACACACACAGGTGACCCATCAGTTGTGGCTTGCGGACCACGGGGCGTAGTTTAAGGACTTTGGGAGCAGTTTTTTTAAGGGACATACTTGGAATAATTCTTGTTACTCAACAAAAACTACTTTTTAGCAAGGGTTCTCAAAATAGATGCCTCCAACCTACATGAACTGGTAAGGTCGTTCTTCATGAACTCGTAAGGTCGCCCTGTATGAACACGTAAAGTCGCCCTGCATGAACTCGTAAGGGCGCCTTAAATGAACTGGTAATGTCGGCCTACCCATTCAAAAGCTTGAGACCAGCTGTAGAAATCAGTAAAGAAATGGACAGTTGAAAGGCGCTGGTATTTGAACAGCTTCGGTTCGCGTCTCAGACACAAACTGGGGTGTTTGAGGTGAACACAATGGCCAGGGTTATAAAGATATGGGCCAGCCTTACACATCCGGAGGTGAAACTACAGTTGGCAACCGGGGACTCTCATTTTGTGGAGTCAGTTGGCAACCAGGGATTCTTATTTTGTGGAGTCAGTTGGCAACCAGGGATTCTTATTTTGTGGAGTCAGTTGGCAACCAGGGACTCTCATTTTGTGGGGTCGATGGGGTGTAAAGAAAAAACCTCTTTGGGTAAATCCCTTCCCCCCCCCCACTTTTTCTATTAAACCCAACACATCTATTCACCTCACCCCCTTCCCCCACTTTTTCTATTAAACCCAACACATCTATTCACCTCACCCCCTTCCCCCACTTTTTCTATTAAACCCAACACATCTATTCACCTCACCCCCTTCCCCCACTTTTTCTATTAAACCCAACACATCTATTCACCTCACCCCCTTACACACCGTACTCTGCTGCACTATTAATAGTTGTAAATGATAAAAGTGTTAGTACACATATTAACTATACCCATGCACAGAGTACATATACTAGCCCCAATGTTTCCTATACGCTGAGCAGCCACGCAGCTATCTCATAGACGCCGCGCATCTATCTCACAGACGCCGCGCAGCTATCTCACAGACGCCGCGCAGCTATCGCACAGACGCCGCGCAGCTATCTCACAGACGCCGCGCAGATATCTCAAAGACGTAGAGCTATTGATTTACATACTTACCGATACGTATCAGATCAAGCTGGCCTCGTTCTGAACCACCGCCGCCATTCATGTACATTTCGATGCGCACACATGCGCAATGAATGTGTATAAAGTAAATAAATGGCAATCTCGGGTTTATTATAATGTAGTATAGCTAATAATTATAAAAATTGTTTTCAGCGCTATGTCTTAACGCCAGTTAAGCGAACTGTCAGCGTCATCGCTTGCTAAAAAAATTTTTTAGATCAAGTTGTTAAAACGGAATGGCTCAATGAATTTGTGCATGCAGCACTACCAGATTGGTCGTCAGAGTTGACTGTCAAGCTGGGGCAATGAATGTGTGCATGCAGCACTACCAGATTGGTCGTCAGAGTTGACTGTCAAGCTGGGGCAATGAATTTGTGCATGCAGCACTACCAGATTGGTCGTCAGAGTTGACTGTCAAGCCGGGGGATGCTTTTAAAATATCCTGAACTTGATGATGAGGTTGTCGGTAAAGTGTGCTTCAAGCTAATGCAGGTGGGGATCTCTCCATAAGGAAAAGGTGGGAGGCTAGAAAGCTGGATTAGTTTAGACAACTTATAAAGCAAAAAAATACACACAGATCCTGTATAGAGACTTGGCTCGAGACAGTCATGAGGTGTACTTCCAGCTTATAGAAAGTGTCGCTGGTGGCGGCATGAGGCAAGAAGCAGCACAACGTAAAAGTGCTAAAGAAGACCAGGTTTAAATTTTGATTGACAACGTCCTCTTGGCTATCTCCATGAACACATCCATGACTGCGGTTCAATACATACACAACGATATGGCTAAGTACGCCCCAGTCCCTGATGCCTGGCGCAGTAAGAATTACGCGTTTTAGTCTGTTGATTCTATCGAATTCTGTAGTAAAGGATGCTGTATTTGGCGAACTTTGCAATGCAACATTAACAGTAACAGTAGATGCAATGCAACATTAACAGTAGATGGGAGCACTGATATATACAGTAGATGGGAGCACTGATATATACAGTAGATGGGAGCACTGATACATCACTGACAAAAGTGTTGATCTTTTACGCAAAGTTTCGGCCATATCCCGGTCAATGTTTACAAGAAAGTGTTTATTGGAATGTTGTTTCTGTCGGCATG